GGTCCTGGATGACAAGGACGCTGAGTTCTACAATGACTTTGCGTCCGGCAACGTCCCAATACCCTGGCAGGAGGAAATGATTGAGACTGGTGTGTTTGGAGAGCTGAATATCTGGGGAGAGAAGGGGAAGTTGCCCAATGACCTTGACCCTAATTATGTGGAAGCCAAAGGGGGGGGATGTGTACTGCTTTGAATTTAGATGGATGCAAAACAGATATACTTCTAATTTTTAAGATCAGTCATTTGTACAACAATCTGTTGTTGATGTATTTAATTTATATTATATTGTTATTATTTATGTAGAATTTGCATGCAAATATTTTATCTACTTATGATGTAATATCTATAGTATTTATAGAATATATAGAAAAGTACAGCATGGTGAAATAACACATAGCTGAAATATAAAGTTGTCAAAACATATGTTGCACTAATTGCATTGGTAAGATTTTTATTCAGTAATTATAGAAAAGCTAACTGTATAGAAATCACATGCAATGTAATCTGTATTGACACTGTAGTAATATGTTTTTATTCTTTATGTATTTATTATTAAGAAACAAGATTTAAGTATCAAGTATCTCGGGGTCTTGTTCGCGAGTGATGGGAGAAGGGAGCCGGAGATCGACAGACGGATTGGGGCTGCAGCTGCAGTAATGCGGACGCTGCACCGGTCCGTCGTGGTGAAGAGGGAGCTGAGTGTAAAAGCGAAGCTCTCAATTTACCGGTCGATCTACGTCCCTACCCTCACCTATGGCCACGAGCTGTGGGTACTGACCGAAAGAACGAGATCGCGGATACAAGCGGCAGAAATGAGCTTCCTCCGAAGGGTGGCTGGCCTCTCCCTTAGAGATAGGGTGAGAAGTTCGGCCATCCGGGAGGGGCTCAGAGCAGAGCAGCTGCTGCTCCACATCGAAAGGAGCCAGCTGAGGTGGTTCGGGCATCTGACAAGGATGCCCCCTGGGCGCCTCCTGGGTGAGGTGTTCCAGGCATGTCCCACCGGGAGGAGGCCCCGGGGCAGACCCAGGACACGCTGGAGAGATTATATCTCTCGGCTGGCCTGGGAACGCCTTGGTATTCCCCCGGATAAGCTGGAGGAGGTGGCTGGGGAGAGGGAGGTCTGGGCCTCTTTGCTTAGGCTGCTGCCCCCGCGACCCGGCCCCGGATAAAGCGGATGAAGATGGATGGATGGATGGATTTAAGTAATTATTACAGGAAACATTTTAGATAGAAGAGTTAAAAGCAATCAATAAAACCTTCGGAAGGGCAAGAGTTGGTTCTTTTCATTTGTAACTTTCTGGCCTGCATTTGAATTTATATGAATATACATGGTGATAAAATATATAGCAAATGTCCAGCTTGTGCTTATGACAAAATGTGGAAGAGCCAAAAAAATTACTTTGTTTGCCAATGTGAATGCAACACCAAATCTATCCATCAGTGTGTCTTTGGACTGTGGGAGGGAAGCCAGAGCATCCAGAGTGAACCCATCTAGTCAGAGGTAGAAGGTGCAAACTCCACATAGAAAGGCCCCAGCCTGCAATCAAACCCAGGACCTTCCTCCTCTAAGGTTACATTGTTAACCAACACAACAGTACTGCCCGAGACCAAATCAGCAGATTAAATTTCATTGCACGTTTACCAGCTGCAGCAAAACTGTGTTGACATTTCACTGATTATTTACTCACTTCTACAAAGAGGCGGCTTGTTCTTACTGAGAAAAGAAAGACAAGGATTTTCTAGAATAGTTGAAAAAAATGAATGACTCACTGTCGGTCAGAACAGTATGTTATTGAAGGACATTTGTCTTGTTTGTCTCGAGTGGAACACGTTTCTTACTGATACTGACCTTAATTACACCATTCTGCGTAATTATTGAAATAAATTATTAACCATCTGATAATGATGAAAATCATGATACAAATTTGATGACGTGTTCCCCGAACAAACCTGCAATAAATCTGTTTTCTTTTTGATGTTTTAATCAAACCCTACAGCAACAGATTATCAATTATTTTATCTACATTTCTGAAACTCAAATGATTTTTTCCTGTTGCATTTACCTTGATTAACGCAGGATACGAATAATTGATTTTCCTTCTAATGAAAATCCATGCTAATCCATCCAATTAACCAAACTTGCATGTTTTCGGTCAAGAGGACACCGATGAAGATGAAGAAGAAAAAAACACAAAACCCAGAGAGAACATGCAAACGCTAACAGTTAATGCAGCTTACCATTTATTGAGGACAAGTAACTATCAAAAATGTAAAAACAAAACAAAAAACAATTGTTTGTGAACAATTCAATATAAAAGAGAAAGACCAGAAGTACTCAGAGAGTGCAGATCTCCACTAGAGCCGCTCATTGTCTGGGCAGTACTTTTAAGGCAATAGTACTGTATTTGTATCTCAGTTTTTCTTTGTTCTTTATAAACTATTTAACTATGTTACTTTAAAATTTCACAACTGGTACATTCTATTCTTTTGTACAAAATTAAAAACTATGGTATTGAGAAGGTATATTTTAAAAACCGCTGCCATAACTTTCCTTTCTAATTAAGCCTCGTGAAAAGTTCTTGTTTCATTAAAAAACAAAAACAAACAAACAAACAAACAAACAGGTATGTTCTGCTTTTGATTACTTCAACTATGTGATATTTTACAAGATAATTGGAAATTCATGTATTATTAATTGTTGTTCTATCTTGCAATGTAATGCTCCTGAAATGGATTGCGTGTTACCTTAACATGCAAATTTTCCACAATTTTTGCTATAAGTTTTGGAATATACGTATTTCAGAGGCAATTTAACCTTGTACAGAGAAAGAAATTTAAAATCAATCACCCTGTAACTTTAATTTTACATAGCAAATGTTGCTTGACAGGACGATGAACCTACCACTATGTTGGAAGTTTTGTGCTATCATAAGTTTAGCAATTAATCAACAAACAAGTGCACCCACACGCAGACACACATGCTGTCTGGTTATGGTGATTGCCTGTGGAAAAAAATAATAATGTGCGAGAGAGAAAGAGAAAGAGAGGGATGGGGAAATGTCGAGTACCGTACTAGTAAAACCAGTACTGACGCAGTTACTTCGTCAAATTTCTGCTACCTTCAGCACACAAAACCGGACCGAGGTTTAAATATGCTGCATTGTTAAATGGCTTTTGCTGAATTTACTACATTACCAAACCACATATGAATCATCCTCTAAAATTGAAACAGGGGATATTTTCAAAAGTTTTGTTCAGTTAAGTAATATTTTCAATTATGAAAATAATTTAAATAGAAAATGAAAGAAAATCAGATAGTCTCAAGCTACACATGCAAATTTTGTGCAGAAGCTACTGTTACAGTCACATCTTCTATGCAAAATTTCTTTATAAATGAATTTACTTCCTTACCTACTAGTTTATTTGAAGCAAAGCAAACCGTTTCAGAGCAGATTCATCCATAAGTCAGTATATTACTAATAGTAGATGGTGGCTGGCACGGCTAGCTATGGAGAAGCATGGAACAATCTGTGCAATGCAGCTTATTAATTACAGGTCAATTAATCATTATATAACCACAATGTACCAGATATAAATCACCACACACCCATACACAAGTCAGAAACAATGACTATGCTTTGATTTTGGCTATATTTAGATGTAAAATAATCATCCAGAAATAAAGTTAAGGAATGTCTCGTTTACACCTTATCAGCAGTTTTGTCATTAACTGAATGGTTGTGCTGCTCCTCATTGACTACTTCTTTATGACATTTATAGATCTCTTCTAGGAACGGTGTGGAATAGGAACCCTGCCTAGAAGCTAACTTGGATTTAAAAACATTGACAGTGAAACAACATTTGGAGCAGAGTTGAAAGCCAGGGGTACAAAAGCGTGGCACATATCCAGTAATTACAGCTGAAACGTGAAAGGGATATGCAACGCTTGCAGTAAATTAACTTGCTATAACTAGGTGAAATTTAACACCTTCACTTAAAATCGTTGAAATAATAAAAATAAAATTGTATCTTGAATTATTTTGTCTTGAATAAGAAAATGAAGGGATTAGAGTTAGGGTTGATTTTAAACATCAAGTCCGGCTACTTGTCTAATTCAGTTCAATTTTCCCTTTAAGCAAAGAGGTCAGTGCGGACACAAGTAAATCAGTATTTAAATTTATAGAGAGGAGGGCAGGGAGATAAAAGATTAACAAAACATTAAAAGTGTAATTCCTCTTCAGTACTGTAAGTATATGACAGTACTTTGAACTATGCTTTTGATTGCTGGCAGCAAAAGAGAATTCTCATTTGATAAGATACAGACTTTAAGGGGTGATTTGAAGTTTCTTAGAAACTAAGAATTGCTTGAGTCAAAGATGGTAAACACATCACCATTCATTCTGAGGGACAGTCGGGGAGATTTGCACGTGCAAAAAATTTATTTAAAACAAACATACATTTCATATATATTGTACAGTATAGATAAATTCTGGACTTTTTTACATTTCCATACATTTTTTCTCATGTGTAGACACTAATGAATTACAAGGTTGAGTTGTAGCAGCCAGGCCTTTGTGCAGATTCTTTTAGGTGACAGCTCTGCACTTTTTCAAGCTAATCTTTCAACAGAACAGACATTGTTGGATCGATATGCTGTATCACTTAAAAAAAGTATTTACAAATGTTAGGAATTTAAACAGGTCTTTTTTCCTGCTGCAAAATTGCTAATGTTTAACTAGTGCCGCAAAAAGATACTTTTCTGTCCTTTATAAATCACCTAAGCAGCTTCAAGTGTTTGCTTTACTGTTAATTCAGCATTTCCCCCCTAAGTATTTGCCCATGGAACTTGAAATAGCCTCATTACAATTAAAAGTTACCAACTCCTCAGAAACAGGACACAGACAGAAAGACAAGATTCAGAGATTAACAAAAAACTGGAACTGCTGCAAAACATTCTTAATAATACAAACAGTTAATGTTTTATGAACATGCTCCTTGTTTACTTACATTTCTATGGCAACTTGCCTACCATGTGTAATGTCATGTATTTTGGGCGGGATTAGCACACGTATATTGTAGCTACAGGCTATAAAGCAATGCGGATATTAGTCCAGGTACCAGTGCATGAGGAAAAAAAATCCTGAGTCAGTTCTCACATTCCCAAAATGTGTATCAGATACTGAAGTCGCAACTAGAGCTCCTCCAATTATTATTACTTCTACTAATTATTAATAAAAATTACTGCCAAGATGAACACGCTCATTGAAGTCGTAGCACTTTTTCTAGGTTTTGTTAGTTGGATATTGACTCTTATAACACTAGAAGATCAGCACTGGAGGGAATCCAGTCAAGACGGCAGTGTTATATTAACTTCTAATCTCTATGAGAACCTATGGATGTCTTGTGCAAGTGATTCAACGGGGAACTATAACTGTCGTGACTTTCCATCCCTTTTTGCTCTTCCAGGTAAGTAAAGTTTTAATTTTTTACATAATATTTTTTTCATCTTCCAAAATACGCCGTTTACAATTATTTAATTAGGTAACTAATATAAAAGTACTTGGGATTATATGCATAGCTTGCATATTCTCATATATGTATTTTTATTCTCTTGATGATTTAGCAAATTTTACAATCATACTGAAAGAAATGCTTTAAACTTAATATGAAATAATAATCAAATAATCTTCATAAAAGCCAAAAAAAAAAAAAAATACAATATCTGCCACAGGCTGTAATCTGAAGGGGTGACAGAAAAAATAAACAGCATCTGTCCAATCTAAACAATCCTTTTGCCAAATTTCTCATGTAAGTTTATTTTTGTCATGCGTGTAAACGCAATGTTCAAAACCATTTTAGGGTTGGTGGTACTTCACTCCATTACAGAACGAGTAAAACTTTTTTTTAGCAATGCTCAGAGATAACATGTTCATTTTAGGCAATTTAGTTTAAAACTGTTTGGAAGAGAGTACATTTTGAAGTTAAATGCTGGGATCCTAAAAGACTAATAATGAATCTGTCTGATTTGCAGACAGGCAAGCAGACTCGACTTAGGGTCATAATGCAACTATGCATCCTCATCACCTATTACCACAGCTGTTACCATCATCCCTTGTAGAGAGAGTGAAATGAGGAGCCAAAGCATGGCTTGAATCCCATCAATAAATAGTTAATAACATTGGCACAGGACTTAAAGCAAATGGCGAAAGGTGACATGTAGCTTTAAATCTATAGACATTGGTAAGCACCTCTCTGTGGCCCCATAAGTTGGGTAACATTTTGAGTCTTTGAAAAGTTTGAATAGAACTCAGAATAAAGGGAATGTTGAGTGGGTGAGCTGGAATTAATTATTAATTTGTACTTTTTGTAGTATCTTAGCAGGAAATTTTTCTGACACATTGAGGCTCAGTGGCTAACAACTTCAAGATTGTGTGGGAACATAGTTTGGAGATGAACGTTTACGTCTATTTTTCGTTATAAACCCAATAGTGGAAGCTTTTGCTTCATTTCTGGGCTTTCACGGTTGGATAATGATCAGGGTCGCCCTTCCAAATCGATACTGGAAGGAATTTACAGTTGATGGTAATGTTATCTCACCCCATCAACAATGAAAACCTCTGGATGTCCTGCGCAACTGACTCTACAGGCGTTAATTATTGCCGTGATTTCCCATCTTTGCTTGGTATGTGGTCAACACATAAATGTTCTTGTTTTGTTTTTTAGTTTTATTAAGTTAAGTACTTATTAATTAATCAATTAAGGATTCAGCTGGCTTAGCTACTCAAGCCCAAGACTTTCCAAGTAAGATTTTATCTGAAACCATCTTAAACTATGTTGTAAAAATCAGCTCTTATAACAGAGGACTTTAAAAAAATCCTTAATAACAAATTAATTAAACAGTCTTTACAACGGTAAAAAAGGTTGATCCTTTTTATGAATGTTTTCATCAACATTTTACTTGTTCAGGGTGTGTCGGTTGTTTACTTGTCTGGAAATTTCTACTGTACTAAGTACTGGTGAACAGAGTAACTGCAATAGAAAATCCAGAAAAAAACAAATGCAATAAAAACTTTGACTGAATTATAATTAATCAATGCCCATTTAGCAATTAGCATCTACTTTGGTTTGTATTTCTTAAGTTACTGTTTAAGAATCAAGTTATGCGAAGTGACATATAAATATTCACCATATCAAAGTGATCCAAAGAGAAAGAGTTTTGTAGTACTCAAACAGTTATCAGTCTTGCCTACAATCCTGAGGCACACATTTCTATACTATGTATTCTGGTTGATTGGTACTAAAAAAAGACCCAAGATGGGCTGTACAGCCCGGTCACAAGATCTGCCCAGACCTGAAAGGATAAACATTTCCTGTTCTCTGAAACAACAGATACTTTTACAATTTGCTGACTATTTTATCAGTTGTGAAATGTGGAATAATTTGAAAATATTTGTGGTCTGCCTGAACTTAATCAACTCATATCATTGTGTCTGTCCTGTGAGATTCAAGGTGGAGCCTCTCACTGAAATGTGAAACAAATGAAAATCTGAGGGCAAGAATTTTTTATATGAAGCTTAATAGAAACAAACAAAAAAAGCTTTTTCTAAAGTTCTTACCAACTTACTGCTTAAATCTTTGTTACTTATTTAGATATAACCATACGGTACACAAACGTATAAATCAATATGTTATTCTGTCTTTTATTTGCACACAGGCTACATTCAGGCCTCTCGAGCACTGATGATTGCTTCAATTGTGTTTGGGTCGTTTGGCCTGGTGGCTACGCTTGTAGGAATGAAGTGCTCGAAAATAGGTGGAGAAAACTATGTTCTAAAGGGGAAGATTGCTGCAGTTGGAGGAGTGTTTTTTTTACTGCAAGGTAAAGACTTGGGGGTGGATGAAAGATCTATGAAAAAAAGGAATGAAAAAAAAACTTTCATTTAAAACAAGCATTTTAGTGTTTGCATGTGAAATTTTTGCCTGATTATTTGAACCAGACTTACAACTTGAGAAATGCAACCTAGCCTCCATAAAGTCATGTGACAGATTTAAGACAGTTCACACTCCTGAATGTTTGCACAGAACACGTGGTTAAATATAAGCATGCCTGGTTCTTCGATTTCTACTTTTCACAAGACAAGCTATCATATCACCATTATATAATGGTTTACTAGTTCAAAAGGTTATCCTTACGCTAACAAACCTGCTGATATAGGACCGTCATTAATAAGAGTTTATGCATTTCAACAGCACTATTGGTTACCCCATTTAAAAAAAAAAACAGTGTGTGAACCCAGTTATAGGATAATCTCATTGACCAAAAAGTATTTTCCCCTGTATTTGAAAAAGCTATATTTCATATATACATTTTTCATTTAACAACATATTTTTAATTTACATAATTAATATAATTTACTGAACTACAACTTGTAAAGTTTTTAAAAAGGAATATAAAAAAATCTTATGCAACATTTAGATAGCATTTTTGTTGCACAACTGGCCTAATGTTTTTAAACTTGACTTCTTTTTTTTTATAAAGATATGTGCACTACTCTGTGAATTTAACTTGTTTTTGCATTTTGTAGGGCTTTGCACCATGATTGCCGTGTCTTGGTACGCAGCAAACATCACCCAGCAGTTCTTTGACATTCTTTACCAAGGGACAAAGTAAGTCAATATAATCTGCATCAGCTGAAAGCACATAACATAGATTAAAAATTGTTAATATTAAATAAATATTACAATCAAAATGTCATATAAATAAATCTTATTGTCTTGCAGGTATGAGCTTGGAGAGGCGCTTTATATTGGCTGGGCTTCAGCCACGCTTGCCATTTGTGGAGGCTCGTGCCTGCTGTGTTCCTGCAGAATTATGACTGACAGTGAAAAAATGTAACTGTTGCTGAAAAGTTTAATTCGCCAGATATTATACATATAACAGGTGTATAATTAATATAATAAAATTAAACGTGCCTTTTGTATTTTAGACCGTATCCACTCCAACCATCCTCCAGAGGACACGTGCGATCAACTGTGGCACCCTCTCAGTCTGTCAACTATGACAGAAACGCATATGTCTAAGAAGTTAATGTGTAGACGGAAAAGTAAGAATCTTTTCAGAATCTTTCTGAAAGAGACAATGAGTAAAAAAAATAAATCTGGTATCATTTATAGGGGACATAATGAAAACTGTGACAGTATAATATCAATTACGGTCATAGGTTCCAGGACAAAATCTGTTACAGTAAGTAAATTTTGATGCAAAAGTCACACTTCCACCTAAGCACACAGTTGGTATATTTTGTTTTCTAATGGTCCCATACATAATTTATCACAATAACAGGACACGTGTGGTTTCAGCCAGTGCGGTTTTTGTTTGTTTTGGGTTTTTTATTTTTTCTGCAGGAGCCACTTGAGTAAAAAGAATGAAACAATCATAAGCACAGAGTATATTTACATGTCACTTTGTTGATTTTATACATTTCTCAAGATTTTTGCATGGTTTTTTACTATATATTTACCAGTTATTTACCATTTCACAGTAATCGAATGCCCTAAATTATGAGAATGTTAACACGTTTATGATTTCTGCTAGTGATGCTCAGCGGTGTTTAGCACAGGTGACATTGTTGTTGTCATTATTAACTACTTTGCACAGTCAAATAAAAAAGGACATTCACAGAACTTGCTTGCACAGCAGTTTTTCATTTGAATGTTTAAATCAACAACAACAACAACAAAAAAAAGCTCAGAGCTCAAATCTTGTCATATAACCCACTTAACAACAGTACTTTCTCAGGGCCCACTTTATTCTTTAATGCCCATTTTAGTTTGGTGACACATTGTGTTTTACATTCTCACATAATACAGATTCAACACTTTAAAAATGCCATCTTCCAGGAACAAAAAAATCACCTTTGGAGTATCTCACAGTTGCAACCTGCTGGAAAGCTGTGATGTCACATCTGGGATTTGGTTTACCCAATGAGAGTCAAGAAACATTTTGCTGATTGGTGATAAATAATTTAAATGTAAGGAAGAGTTTAAAATATAACATTTAAAGCATAAAGTCATGTACAGCACTTTAAAAATTCGCATTCTTAACATTCTTAAAAGCCTCATTCTTAACAGGTTGTTTTAATATCTCTTCCTTTTCATTACTTAATTGGTCACAGTAGCTGCATCACTGTAAGAGTGAAAGTAATACACTGGGTTTTCAGTTCCTCAGAAACGTACATGAAAACATAAAAATGTACCGAACCACTGATTTATGCTACTCAGTGTTTTATTTAGTAGGGGTCTGTGTTTATGGGACTTTGAGCGATACTATTTCAAGTCTATAAAAGAAGAAATCAAAAGGGATAGCTGTATCACATCAAAAATACTAAATTCATATGTATTTCACATCCTTCGCCCCCTGTAAATTAATTTGTTAAATCAAGGACACACACAAGATATAATTAAGGCTGTTTTATGGAGAAAAATACCAAAAACGTTTTAAAACAAGCACCATTTTGCACAGAAGGGTAAAGAGCATAGTTTTCTTGTCAATCTTTAGGTGCTTCATTTGCTAAATTGTCCAGGTTCTGTCCATCAAAGCGGATAGCGTGCCAGCCTTCAGTGACAGTGAGGTCCTGAGCTCCTTTAGCAGCATAAAAGTCTCGAGAGGGAGTGTTCCAATTTAGCACAGACAACTGCAGCCGCACACACTGCTTCTTTTTCCCCAATCTGAACAAATAAAAAAATTGTCCTGCTCTTAATCATGCACTATTACCACGCTATAACACAAAACAGCTGATATTAACCAAAACAGAAGAAAAAAATCAAAAGCGTCCAAATGCAACAAATCAAATTAAAAAAATAGGTTTTCCATACAACAACAAAAACAGTCTTACCTCTGCAACTTTGCTCAATAAGGCTGTACCAATGCCATTTCCTACAGGGGAAACCATTATAAACATGATAAAGTAACAAATACATCTA